AATTATTAAAAATAATTATTAATTAATAAAATAATTAATATTTTATTATTTAATAAATTAAAATTAATTTATAAACAAATACTTTTAAATTTTATAACTTAACTATTTAAAAAAATTATAAACTAATAAAACAGGTAAGATTAGTGGGCTGGTCATAACCTCACCTTGAAATCAGGGGCCTAAAGAAAGAGTTGAGTTTTTCTTCTTCTTCCTTTTTTATTAATTGAGTTGAGTTGGTTAGCTCCCAAACAAACCAGATAACGGAAAAAGAAATCTTCAAAAGCAGCCAATTGTGACCAAACGGTCCAAAACTGGTTTCAAACTTGGCTTGCTTGCACGCTTTTGGTCCTAATTTTGGGTTTCCCATACTTTTTGTCTTTCTTCTAAAATTTTTTTTTTCTTCTACAAAAATTTTTCTGTCACTTTTAAGTTAAAAAATTTATAGAATCTAAATTATATTAAACTACATAATTTAAATTATTAAATAATAAATAAGTCTTTTAATATTAAAAATTAACTTTATCTAATAGTTGATATTCTATAATTTAGTCTATCCTCTTTTTTACTTTTGTTTCTTTCAAATCAAAGTTAACACCTCCTTCCTAACAACGGAGCAATTTTAAGATGAATTAGTATTAATAATTGAAATTAATAAATTTACCTTTGAAGTTTTGTATAAGATCAAGCTTCTGGTATAAAGTACTACTAACAAGAGTTTAGTTAGATTAATATGCAGTAATTCAAAATTTTTAATTAAAAATTTAAATTTTTATTACCAAGCAATTAACTTTTTAATATCTTTGAAAAAAGAAAAAAACTCTAAAGCATGGTCAGCAATTGATGAAGCTGTGGCCTATGGAAGTTGAAGGCAGTATATGACACTCATTTCGCAATCAATGCAATTTAAGAACAAACAAGAACCAGTCGTCAAGATCAAAGAAAGGAAAGTCAGAGTGTTAGAGATTGAAAGAAAAGTATAAAGAAGTTTCCCCTGAAAGGAAAGAGGGAAAAGGGAAACTTCTACCCTTGAGTCATTGACGGAGCCAGCCCCAGTTGGTACTGAATCTTATATATAGGATTCAGTGGACCTTTGAATTCCTCTAAACCACCCCAATGTCTTCCCTCAAGACCACCAAAAAACACCATAAACACTTCAACAATCCCTTCCCTTCTCCTCCACCATCTCTCCCTTTCATTCAAGGAAATCTCTTGATCAACTCCAAAATCCTATCTTCCCACCAAATCTTCTCCATTGGGAAGGATTTCCAGCTTCTTTGGAGCACAAAAAATGGTGGCGTGTTCTCCATTTATCACCAGTCTCAGCCTGCAAGATCACTGTGGTGCACCATTCCTGGCCAAGCTTTTGTCTCTGCAGCAGTTGCTGAAACAGAGGTGGAGGAAAGCAGGGGATCATTTGCTGTAAAAGATGGAGATGTTCACTTTGTTTGTGATCATCAGACTGTTGAAGATGTAAGGGTGATACATGAGTCTGATGATTTTCTTGATGCTGAAGGTCATGATTTTCTATCTGGGTATTTGGGATTAGACCTGAGGAAGGAGTTGGAAGGTGCAGAATTCCCTGTTCTGCTCATAACAGGAAGCATTTTCAGCAAGAGGAAGATGAAGAAAAGGGTTCATAATTCAGGTATATATAAGGATATAACGTTTGAGACAAATGTACCTTCTGTTTCTGCAAGGTATTGGGTCCTGTTTGATCAAAAGAACAGCAACCAAATCGGTTTCCAAGTGCAGATTGGACAACCTGAATTCAAGCTGCCCCAGAGAGGCTCCCCAGTTGGAAGATACAGGCGTTTGAGGGGCAAACTGAGGCGGTTTCGGAAAAAGAAGGCGGGCTTGTGTTGGTTTTTTACAAGGCCAAGAGGATTTGTGGCGGTTACCTCATCAGAGGAGGAACTAGGGGAATTGAACGTTACAAGTTCCACTTCCACAGAGTTCAACAAGGTTTGCTTAACCTATGCAAGTGAAGGAAATGAGAGATTTTTCGGGTTCGGAGAGCAGTTCTCTCATATGGATTTTAAAGGGAAAAGGGTGCCTATTTTTGTTCAAGAACAAGGGATTGGAAGGGGAGATCAACCTGTTACTTTTGCAGCTAACTTGGTTAGCTACAGGTATAACTGCTGCTTCCCCACCAAACATCCAAAACTAGTTTCATGCATTTGACTTCCGAACCTTTACCTTCATTGCAGGGCTGGAGGTGATTGGAGCACAACTTATGCTCCTTCACCATTCTACATGACTTCCAAGATGAGGTCTCTCTACTTGGAAGGATACAACTATTCTGTATTTGATCTGACAAAACAAGATAGAGTCCAAGTACAGGTATTTTTCAACGTCCACTTCAGATTATAACTCAAAAAGTTTGTGATTAAATGAGGCTCATTCATATTTAAAAATGCAGTTTCCCATTTTTCTCTATGCTGGAGCTTGCAGATACATGGAAATGCAGTTCAGGGAAGAATATTGCATGGGAACACACCTACTGAGATCATTGAGCACTTCACAGAAACTATTGGGAGGCCGCCTGTGCTTCCTGAATGGTTAATATCCGGAGCGGTGGTTGGAATGCAGGGTGGCACGGAAGCTGTACGCCGCATTTGGGATGAATTGACGAATTATAAGGTTCCCATTTCAGCATTTTGGTTGCAGGTAATGCCATGGCCTAATTAAACCATTGTATGTATCCTAAGAATGACATGGTTTAAGAAACTCTGGAACTTGGTTGCGGCATTAGTTTTCATGAGCTATTTTGTGTAGGACTGGGTGGGGCAAAGGGAAACGTTGATAGGGTCGCAACTATGGTGGAACTGGGAAGTGGACTCAACAAGGTACCAAGGATGGCAGCAGCTAGTTAAAGATCTGAGTGCTCACTCTATTAAAGTGATGACATACTGCAACCCTTGTCTGGCTCCGGTGCTTATCTTCCTCTTTTGTATCTAAGAATGTTACCTTCATTTTTTTTCTCTTCATCTTATTTGAAACTCCAACTTGATTTTGCAGACTGATGAGAAGCCAAACAGAATGAGAAATCTATTTGAGGAAGCTAGAAAGCTCGACATCCTAGTGAAAGACAAGAATGGAGAAGCATACATGATTCCAAACACAGCGTTTGATGTGGGGATGTTGGACCTGACTCACCCTCTTACTGCAAGCTGGTTCAAACAGATTTTACAAGAAATGGTCGATGATGGAGTCAGAGGATGGATGGCTGATTTTGGTGAAGGCCTGCCAGTGGATGCCACACTCTACTCAGGTAACTTAACTACCTTCTGGTCTCCCAGAAGGGCAGTAATGTTCATAGTGCTGGTCACAACCTTTCTGAAAGTATCAAGAAAACCTGCTCACCAAATTCAAAATTTCCTCAACAATTACTTCTATGCATTTGATCTGACAAAACTTATCTATTTTATTTCAAAAGTTCACCAGTAATTATGATTCCATCATCTCAGGTGAAGATCCTATTTCGGCACACAACAGATATGCAGAGCTATGGGCTCAAATAAACCGAGAATTTGTGGAAGAATGGAAAAGTAACCGTGTGGGAAAGGAGAAAGAAGATCCAGATGAGGCCTTGGTCTTCTTTATGAGGGCTGGTTTTAGGGATAGTCCTAAATGGGGGATGCTATTTTGGGAAGGAGACCAGATGGTAAGTTGGCAAGCTAATGATGGGATAAAGAGTGCCGTTGTTGGCCTACTGAGCAGTGGCCTTTCTGGATATGCATTTAACCACAGTGATATTGGAGGCTACTGCTCCATAAACTTACCTATAATCAAGTATCGACGAAGTGAAGAGTTGCTTATGCGTTGGATGGAGCTAAATGCATTCACCATTGTCTTCCGGACCCATGAGGTATGTGGAAAACCTGCAACCTGAAGCACAGAAACAATAAAGTGTAATATAGTTGCTGTCATCATTATTTTTCTGTAGTTATGATGACTTCTAATTTAAGCCTCTCCCATAAACTCTATCTAGAGCATGAGATAAACTTATTTCAATTTGCATAAAGAAGTAAAACGCAATAGTCATAAGTGGCTAAATTACCAAGATTTTCTTAGTACTGATCTCCGATTTTTTGTGTTCAAGCAGGGTAATAAACCATCTAGCAACAGCCAGTTTTACTCAAATGAGAGAACACTAACACATTTTGCGCGCTTTGCCAAAGTCTACAAAGCTTGGAAGTTCTACAGAATTCAGCTTGTAAAGGTAATACCACAAGCATAGTCTGATTTCAGTTTCACTACAAATCTATCAACTATGCTGGAAGATCTAACAAAACACACCCTATATCTTGGTGTGTGCACAAAACAGGAAGCTGCTCAGAAAGGCTTACCTATATGCCGGCACTTGTTTCTTCACTACCCTAAAGATGATAAGGTGCATAGTTTCAGTTACCAGCAGTTCTTGGTGGGTACTGAGATCCTTGTGGTGCCTGTGCTTGACAAGGGCAGGAAGAATGTGAAAGCCTATTTCCCAGCAGGAGAATCATGTTCTTGGCAGCATATCTGGACGGGAAAGCTGTACAAAAAACAGGGTTCTGAAGTGTGGGTGGATGCTCCACTCGGCTATCCTGCTGTCTTTGTTAAGGCTGGCTCCACTGTTGGAGAGACTTTCATGGAAAACCTTAGAAATCTCAATATTCTTTGATAAATGGGTGCCCTAAGGGGATCCAAAATTCAACATTCATGTGTCTATTGGTTGATCCAAGATTCTTGTATCTTCATTCATATTAGAAGATGATGCTTTCTCTACCGAATCCAAAGGGATTTGGATACTTGTGTTGTATATTCCCTATTCTACCTGTAGGTCTCTGTTTTCTTCACTTGTTTTTCAACCCAATTTCACTTTTTCTTTTGCATTCTGGATCCGGTATCTGCAAATGTTTAAAAATCTAGAATCAAAGATTCTAAAGTTGGCAATAGTACCTCCATGAAGATGGTGAACAAATTTGATCAAATTCTTACTAATTTTTTTTTTTTTTTAACATTTATAATGATTGAGTAACCAATTTTTTTTTTTTTAAAAAAAAAAGAAGCCCACACTTCTTTTATTTTTATTTGGAATTAAAAATGTATTATTTTCATCTAGATGACATAAAAATAACACAATTTAAAATTTAAATTATTAAAATACTGTT